AGCGCTAATGTATTCACAAAGTAATTAACATGCACACCGAGACACAGCTCTTTATGCACAGCGACTACAGTTTTGATAACGCTTTATCAAATGACACTGCAAAATAAGAACACTTTTTGATTAGACAAAGAAAAATGCTGTTCCCCTCATGAAATATTAATGCTGCTGTTCTATCTTTGTCCCTTTTTAGCTGGGGCTGAATATCAACTTTTTGGCACTCGGAGCCATGATGGTATGCGCCACAGGCCCCGCGTTCTCCTCCCCCGGCATTTAAATGAGATTACTGGGAAGATAGATTCAACCGAGTCCGTATCGAAACGCTCTGTGACGAATGCTGACTCAGGTGGCCACGAGCAAATCAGGACAAAATCACCATTGCAGATCAAACCAAGCGCTCCCTTTACATTTTGTTTTGCTCTCTGTGCATGTATACTCTGAAGCTGGGGATGAGGAAAACTGCCTTTTGATAGAAGATCTGTCTGTACAGGTCATTTTGACTTCCTTAAAGTTTTTCCCATAATGCAAACTGAAGCCTCTCCGGACCAAAAGCATTTCATGGTTAGAATATATTACATTGTGGCACACTGTACCAGGAACATATCCCCAAAATGATTAAAATTCAAGATGGTATTCCCTCAGGAGTTCCAGTTTAGGGTGAAACTTCGGATTTCAGGTTCCCTGCAGAGATATCTGCCTATTGTGAAAATGCATAAAGTGTGTTCATAATCTCAAAATCCACAGGGATGCCAGTCAAAGCAGAAGTCTGTTCAAATATGTACCAGCGTCTATGAAACTGTATAAATGTTTCTAGTATCAGTGGACTTTTTTTTTTTACCAAGGCTGCCAACTTTCAGATTGAGTTTGTAGTGAGATAGTAAATTCAGTATGTTTGTAGTCAGGGTCATCCTGAACAGTATGACATTGAACATTTCATCAAACCTCTGATAGAAAAAAGGTCAAATAAAAGGCAATTGTCTTTGTGATGCAAAGTATTTTCAGGTGACCAAGTGAGGGACAATGTGCAGCGAGGCGGTCATTATGGGGAAAAGAACACCCGACAGGCAGATCAAGAGCCCGACGCCGCGCATAAAAGCCAAACTGTATACAGTTCAATCGAACAGACTTCTTTCTGCAGATGTGAGCGTCCTTAACGGTCAATAAATCCTTGATAGCGGGCTGTCTGTTCTGGATTAACAACATGTCACGTGTTCTGAATTGACCAATCAGAATCGAGTATTCAACTAAACCATGTAATAAGTAAGGGATAATGTGCAGCGAGGCGGTCATTATGGGGAAAAGAACACCCAACAGGTAGATCAGCATGAAGGGGCTTATTACAAGGCCAAATTCTCAACAAAGTAACGACATGACTCCCAATGTTAATTGAAATGCTTTTATTGATTTAAAAAACAGTATTATTGATTTAAAAAATAGGTATTGATTTCAAATGAGATGCATCCGCTGAGAAAAATAGTCCGTTGTTACGGTTTGAATTACGTAGCAACGGCAGGAACTGCTTCGATAGCGTTTTTGAGGAGCTTTTTGATTACAGATTTGAAAACATAGTTTCTTTAAAAGTAGCACAATTCATTATGTCAAACCTCGGAAAGTAGATATCCCTGCCCTGATGCCAAAGTAACTGCACACTGAATATGTTTTGCCGTTTGATGTCTGGACCATTAGCCTATACGTAAAAAGGACCGCAGCTCCTGTTGATGGTTTCTGCCCCGTAGCTGATCAGCCAGTCTTTAAATGGCTCATAATGTTGTCCTTCTTTTCGCCTCTCTTACTTCTCCGCTGTTTTATTGTCCCTCTTGTCTTTTTATTTTCTTCACTGGACTCATCAGCCACTAACCATTCCATCCTGTGCTCTCCAAATATATTAAAATGAATATTAAAATCCTCCATGTTGCTCTCAGACGGGAGACAACTGAAAACTAAAGACAAGCAAACAGTTCGGTTTGCTTTTCAGCCAAAATGTATACAGTTAAATCGACCGGACTTCTTTCTGCAGATGTGAACGTACTTAACAACGGTCTAATAAATCCTTGACAGCGGTCTGTCTGTACTGGATTAACAACGTGTTACCTGTTCTGAATTGACCTTTTTGGTATGCAGCAAGGGGCAACGTTTAGGGTCTGAAAAATCCAGCCAATGCCAATGGATACCTTGATACCTACGTCCTTTCTAATATCTAGCATATCATTTGTTTGCAAAGATAAGTCAAATTGTATAGAAGTCTATGAGAAATATACCCCACCTATCACCTGATGTATTACCATACCATATAAAGTTGACTCACCCACAGTCACATTACCCATTGATTTATTTGACTCTAAATGGGAACTCTGGTTGCAGAAAGAAGTAAGATTGAATACAAGTCTGATACAATTACCCTATTTCTCACTTGATTGGACTTACATACCAAAGTTACATCACCCATTGAATGGCTTTCATTTCAATGGGACCATTATTTACAAATAGAACATGATGCTGCATTAAAGAAGACTTCAAACTATAGTGTTTAGAAAAATACAACCCTATTTCCGTCATTTTGTTACCTATATGACATACAGTCATGTATTTAATATAGGCAAACATTGTTTCACCCGTATAAGACCCCTATTACTAACACCCAGAAACCTGCATCATCTCCATATTTTAACTTTAAAATAACCGGCAAACCAACAAACATGCCGTCTTATTGCTAGAAGTCCCTGTTTCATGCTGCAGGGGGCAGTAGTGGGACATACATTCACAGCTGAGCCCCGTATAAAATCTTTCATAATCTCAAACTGCAGCAGAGTCAAAGCTCTCTCATCTGCAGGTAAAATGAGATCCCATGATTCAATCACATCACATTAATATCCACCACAGTAGTTTTTCTGCTCCTTGTTTGCACTCGTTTCCGTGTCACTGACACACACAGCCATTACTGTCATCAGCCTGTACGACAGACAGTTTTATTCCCAGAGATCCGAATAAGGAGGGCTTTCATGAGTGATTTATTTATTTAGCCTTTTATAGGATTGTAGTGCTGCAGGGAGAGAATAGTGACTGGGCTGCTTCTGCCAGACAGATGCTCTGGATCATTTTTTGTGAATCAACTTCAAAAAGATGCGTCATAGAGTGTGTGTGGGGGGGGTCCCACTGCGACTGACAGAACCACTGATTTGGTGATTAAATCATTCCTTGCAAAGCACCATACTTTTAAAGTGCTTTCATAGACATGAGTGGAGTTGCTGAGCAAACAAATACAGCAGGTTGGGAACAACACAAGTGCCATGCTTGCTCACTGACGGAAATCATCTAATTCTTCACACACGAGTATCTGCGACTGGTCCAACAATATCAGGCAAATTGTTTTGTTAGCTTGTAGAAAAGTGTATCCACTCCTTCTGTCTCCAGCCTCGTTCAAACTGAATGGTCTTGCTGAGCTTGTTAGAGGATTTCTGCAACTCTGCGACCGATCAAACTGAATCCTTACGGTCCCTCAGCCTTCTTCACCACAGCTTGTGTTTGTGACTTTTTGTCATCCCTGCTTCCCAATAGCTTTAATCTTTGTGGCTCCTTTGTATTTGTATTTGCTCCAGAGCTGCAGCACTGCCATTCAACAACGTGAGGGGCACAGAAAATATTCCCAAAAATGATTACAGTTCAAGAAGATATTCCCACAGGAGTACCAGTTGAGAATGAAAAAGCACTCACAAGGATTTGAGGCTCCCTGCAGAGATATTTTACTTTGCCTATTGTGAAAGTGCACACACTGTTTTCATAATCTCAAAATCCACAGGACTGCCATTCCAAGCAGAAATCTGTTTTGGCATCATTACACTTTTGTCCCAACGTTTCAATCTTCTTTGGAGTGACACGGTAAATTCAACATGTTTGATTGCAAACTTCTGATGGAAAAAATGTTAAAAGTTTTTAAAGAAGAGGACATTTATGTGTTGCAACTTGCAACGTATTTTGAGGTAATGTCACCAAGGGGCAACCTCGAGGGTCTGAAAAATGAAGGCAATGCGGAGGTGAATCCACAAGTCACAAAAAAAAGTCAAATTGTGTGTGAGTCGGTGAGCAGCAGGGACGTGCACAGACATTTGGAGGGGCTATTGCTCTAAACTGGAAAAAGCCCCNCACACATGTTCTGGTCTTGTCCGGTCTTACACTCTTATTGGACTGACATCTTTAGATCACTGTCAGAAATCACTGGAAAACCGATCGCTCCTAATGCCATGACCGCACTGTTTGGTGTAACCCAACCCACATGACCACTCTCTTCTCTGGAGACAGCCTTCATAGCCTTTGTTACCTTACTAGCCAGACGCCTGATATTGCTCATGTGGAAGTCTCCAACATCCCCTTCACTCACCTTGTGGTTAAAAGAAGTCCTAAATTCAGCCAAACTCGAGAAAATAAGGTGCATACTGAGGGGCTTCCTGGGGAAATTCCACAAGATGTGGAACCCCTTCTACAAGTATATACGGGAGCTGGACATGCCGGATGTCTTTGTACAACAGGGTGGTGGACCTGTGGTGTTAAACTGTGATTAGTGGGCGGCTGACTGACCAACAAGTGCTATGTTTTTTATTTATTTATTATTTTTGATATATTTGGTCTTTTTGTTCCATTTATGCACATTGTTTGATCTCTACTTTTGCATTATGTTATTAATAATGGACTTAGACTCAGAACCTTTAGAGTTAGATTTTTTTTTTATTTATTTTAATTTATTTTTTTTATTGTTGTTTTTGTCTTTGTTTTTTATCCTGTCGGACTCGAATCACATTGTTGTCATCCTAATTTGTTTGCCAACTGCTATTGTGCTGTCTGTCCGGCTGTTTGTTTATAAAAAACTAAAATAAAAAGTTTTTTTTTAAAAAGTAAGGCTTCACTTGCAAGGATCTCAACAATATTTATTTTAAAGTGAAGGGATGTAGGGAGCGAGGGATGAATTTATGAAGGATGGAGGGATGAAGGGTCCAAGAGAGGTAGGGAGGGATAAAGGGATGAGGGTAGAGGTGAGGTAGTAAGGAAAATGGATAAGGGGAAGGAAAAGGGTGTCTGTATAAGTAGATTAGCAGGTTATCTGAGGCCTGGCCTGGCTCCCAAATCTTTGTCAATTTATCACCCTCATGTGTTCAACATTCAATCTCAACTTTTAATGTATTATGCCTAAATGTCAGCACTTCTTGCATTTTAAATGAACTGTTTTTGACCCGAGGTGATGCTTAGACTCTCCATTGTCCTCACAGGTGAAGCCAGTGCTTCCACGATGTGGGACAACCAGGCCTGGAGCTACCTTCCCTCAGACAGGGAGGGGGCCATGCCCCCCTTCCTGGCCCAGGACTTCATCCACACAGTCCAGCCTGGCGCCAAGATCCTCATCATGCTTAGAGATCCAGTAGAAAGGTGTTGTGGAGAAATCCATCGGTCTGTGTATATCCAGATTTTCCATTTTGAATTCCTTCTAAAAGATTTTCCTTCTGAGGATATTTGTTTTAAATCATAACACCTTTTGTCCGTCCAGTAAAATGTCCTTTCGAAGTTCCAACTGGCTGACAACTCTGTTTCCTTCTGTTCCCAGACTTTATTCGGACTATTTGTACTTCAAGATCGCCAACAAGTCAGCAGAGGACTTCCATCAGAAGGTCGTGGACTCTGTATATCTGTTTCAGTCCTGCCTGTCTGAGGGTTCACTTCGTTCGTGCGTCTACGACACCAGCCTCTCCAACTCTATGCCGGTTAGCTGAAAGGATCCTCACTTTTCACTGTTTGAAAATCAGTTTGCATTTAAATACTTAAGTCATTATTTAAAGCTGACAAAATCTAAATCTTTCTTTTTAACATCTATATCCACATATAAATACATTTCTTTTTTTAAAGAAACGAAAGTAAATGCATCCAAATACTTCAAAATAGTCAGTTTTTCTCCAAATTCCAAACTAAATCATAAAATCTGTCCATCTCTTTTCTGAATGTTCCCGAAATGTTTCCCATTGAGTACACTTGCCTGCCTATTTACCTGTCATTGGTGTACAGTAGTAAGTGTGGCAGTAGTTTGAGTTAGGATAAAGTTATCTCTTTGTTCCACCAATAAAGGGATAGGCAGAAAATAAGTCCTCCTCCTTTCCATGGCTTCATCATAGCAACAGCAGGTCTATTGGTAAATCAATTTCCAGAAAGGCAAAGTGTGTCTGTATGAAGTGGAGTGGTTTTAAATTACATTTACGGCACTCTCCTTCTGCACAAGAGAAAATACAACCTACTAGCTGACCAGAGTCACCTCAGTTTATATCCTCCTATCCGGCAGCGCTCCCTCAGGAGGAGGCTGAGTTATGAGCGCTGTCGGTGTCACCTCTAATCACAACATGTCTGTGACAGCACCGTTATCCAGGCAGATTTACTACAGTAAAAAGCAGCAATCAGCTCGACCTGAAACCATTGGAACAGAAATAGAATCCATCAAATCTAACAAAAACATTCAGAAAACACCATTACGTTCTCTTTGTTTACATGACTTTGTTTACTGTTATGGATGAGATGAAGATGAAGCTTTCAAAGTCCAATTTATTTTTAGTCTGGTGTGGCACTTTGCTGCCCTCTTGAGGACTCTGAGTGTCTGTGTCAGGAATTTAAACAACAACTTGAAGAGTGAATTTAAAATCTAAAAATGATCAATACTTCTTAGTGTGAGTAAAACATAAAAGTATTTAGTGTCACTTTACTGAATATTTATTATTTTTAGTCAAATCTGTTTGACACTTAAAGATTTAAAGACACTTATGCACATTAAATAATATGCATTGTGTTTTCATTGGCTTTGTTGACAAATCAAAAGCTTACAATCACCAAGGTATATTCTCAAAATCCAATTTCTCAGCTAATATTGTTTAAATTATTTTGACGGACACATGTGCGTCTGCTGTTGACTTTTCACCACACAACACTTAAAGGTGGGGTATGTAATTTTGGAGAAACCAGCTCGAGTGCGCTAGAATTTGAAAATACACAGCCGGAAAAACTGCCAAGGCACAC